TACCGCGCGAGCCACAACGACAGCACCGGCCTCTGATCCGCCCACAGCCACAACAACATTGACAACTACAACGGCAGAACCAACTACAATGGCAGAAACAACTACAACTGCGGAACCAACTACAGCGACAGAAACAACTACAACGGCGGAACCAACTACAGCGGCAGAAACAACTACAACGGCAGAACCAACTACAATGGCAGAAACAACTACAACAACAGAGCCCACTACGTCTACACAGACCACCGCGGTGGAAACAAGAACGTCACCTACTGGTAATTATATGTCCACGATTACATACATCGTTGTTCGTACTAAATTAAAACAAGATCGCGCCGGTCCTGTAGTTTTGTACATGTGCCAGTTTATGCATGTTTTGTACATGCTTTGCCCCTATAGACCCCGACAGCCACCACCCGCAGAGCAACGTGATTTTTTTGTAGGAAAATCGGCCCAATGACTCTGGAATGTAAAAAAAAAAACACCCTCAGATGCACTCGGACAATTATATTCTCTGAAAAACCTCACAGTTATCTAGGCGAAGAAAAGTATCTGGAGACATTAACATTGCTAAGAAACAGGCCGTTTAAGCCATCTCATCTAGTCTGACAGAAGCTGGAGCAATGGCTCTTTGCTTTCACTGACAGACTGCTATCGGTAACTTGCTTTGGCGTTGCACTAGGGAAAGTTATTTTCAGCGCCTAACAGTGAAACCTTGCAACCGTCATTTCCAGAGATCACGAGGCGACCTCTTTCTTTGTGTTTGACACAGCCATTCAGTCCTGTCTCTCGTGCTGTTCCTTATTGGGTAATAATCACGTACCATCAAATCAATGTCATACAACATCGTCGTGATCGCTGCTGGCGGGAAAAAAGCCGCACAGGGCAACAGAGGCGCCGGCTGCCAGGTTGTGCCCAGTAGGGGTCAACGCGATGCATGAAAGGCCCTTTTACCCAGGCCTTGAGGTTTCAGAGGTCCTACTGCGGGGGCGAAAAGGTGTCCTTTCTGTCACCAGCGAACTTTGGAACCGTCCGAAGCGTCACCTGAAGTCAAATCTTTCAGAAACTGTTGCAGTATATCTCTAAATGCGATAAACAAAAACAACAAACAGACGAATGGTGGTTGGGACTAACCTAATATAATTATCAGATAAAGGCATACTTATCATAACCAGCCTAAAGGCGTGCAGTTTCCTGCGCATTTTGGAAAAGGTGGGATTGTGTGTACTAACCAGAGATGCAGTTAGCCATTTTTAGTTATCATTTTTATCCATTATTTTTCATTCATTACAATCTTGGGAGCTCAACACTCAAAAATCTTATTTTGAGAAACTGCATCCCTGCTTCAAGCTGTGAAAAGGAAGTGCGCCAAATCTGGGGAGAAGCTGTTCCAAGTACATTTCAGAGGCAGGCTCAGCCTTTTTTCCCCAGCATCCCCTCCCCCTTCCCTCCCTTATCTTTACATATGCTGCAAGCCTGCATCCCTGTAGCCCTACATTTACCGATAACATAGTTTTGCAAACGCCTGAAACAAAATCTCTTTTGGTTTTGTGATATCATCGTACAATCAGCTGGAAGCACTGGCGACCTGCACTAATTTCGCATAATCAATGCCGGTGGGGAACTCGCACTTCCGAACGTGATCCCAGTTGTTTAGAGTAAAACCCATGTAATGTTGTTATCAACAGGTGCAAACGACATTTTTAGGCACCTCTAGCATCTACATTTGGCTTTATACGCAATATGATCACAGCTAAAAGCGTTTTATGTCGCGCCTATCCACCAATCAGTACGCTAAGTCTGAGGTGCAACGGGCAATATGAGGGGCCTACACCAGCGATGCTCGGCCTCTTACCTCAAAACCGCAGTTCCTCTCAGCAGCAGGAAGCCCCGGATGAATTATTGACATGTGTCGGTCCAGTGACCTCCGTTTACTTCTGAAGCTACAGCTCAGGTATTCACAAACAACAATCCTCCTAAATCGGCAGGGCTTTTTAACGCCATTAGCTTAAAAATACTGACGATTAGCTACGTTCTTCTAGCCATTCAGCTTCTCACAACATGAACATAACTACCAACAGTCCACTTCCATGTACTGAACCCAGCGCACTTCCGCGTAGCGAGCAACCGAGCCCATCTGTCTCAAATGGCAAAACGCTTTAAAACGTTGCGTAGCAGACTGATCACGTTCGTCGCAAGGTGCTGTTGCCTGCAACGATTCTTACAGCTGATGATAAGCCTAGTTACTTAATATTTTATACTGCTTAGTGTGAAGTGTTCTTGGCTCGGAAAAAATATGTGAAAAGCACTGATCTGAGGGGCATTGGAAAAACGCCGTGTCATTGATGATCTGTGACAGCAATGATGTAGTATAATTTGAAGTATGTTTCTGTCACCTGGTAAGTACTACCCCAATTAAAGCTACTATGTTTGGCAGCATGTAACGGCTCGACTTGCTCATATAGCGAGACGTCAACGTTTCGACGTTTGCTTTACGCCTACTCACAGCTGCAAGCGTTAGCGATTCCAGGCCAATACTAAGCTTTGGGCTCCGTCTAGCTGGGATGATCTGGTGTGATATGGTCTGGTCCGTTGAAAGTTGGCATATTCGCAATTTTGTCATCTATTGGTTCGCGAAAGTGTCAGTTTTATCACTGATCAAATCCGCCAAATCAGAAGCCTTTCCACCCCTGCCCTACTATTGCACTCAGCAGCCTTTTTAGACTCGGGATCCCAATGTGACGTCTCGAAGGCCCGTTTTTATGTTTTAGATTCATGCCGGTGCCCAAAAAGGACTGGGTCCATATGCAGGGAGGGGGAATACGAAGTCTACCCAGTCTGCAGGTTGAAGTCACGGTATGTGGCTCGCCTGGCCGCAGATGGGGACGTGGTATGTGGCTCACCCGTTTACAGGTGGGGGCGCGGTGTGTGGCTCGCCTGGCCGCAGATGGGGGCGTGGTATGTGGCTCACCCGTCTACAGGTGGGGACGCGGTGTGTGGCTCGCCTGGCCGCAGATAGGGGCGTGGTATGTGGCTCACTCGTCTACAGTTGGGGGCGCGGTGTGTGGCTCGCCTGGCCGCAGATAGGGGCGTGGTATGTGGCTCACCTGTCTACAGGTGGGGGCGCGGTTTGTGGCTCGCCTGGCCGCAGATAGGGGCGTGGTATGTGGCTCACCTGTCTACAGGTGGGGGCGCGGTGTGTGGCTCGCCTGGCCGCAGATGGGGCGCGATATGTGGCTCACCTGACTATACGTAAGGGCGTGGTATGTGGTCACCTGGCAGCACGTAAGGGCGCGTGATGTGGCTTATCTGTCTAAACGTAGGAGTGCGGGATGTAGCTCACCTGTCTACACGTAGGGGTGCAGGATGTGGCTCACCTGTCCACACATAGGGGTGCGGGATGTGGCTCACCTGTCCACACGTAGGGGTGCGGGATGTGGCTCACCTGTCTACACGTAGGGGTGCGGGATGTGGCTCACCTGTCCACACGTAGGGGTGCGGGATGTGGCTTATTTGTCTACACGTAGGGGTGCGGGATCTAGCTCACCTGTCTACACGTAGGGGTGCGGGATGTGGCTCACCTGTCCACACGTAGGGGTGCGGGATGTGGCTCACCTGTCCACACGTAGGGGTGCGGGATGTGGCTCTCCTGTCTCGGCGCTGTGCTTGCAGGTTGCGGCACATGGTTGAGCACGGCTTCGGGTGAGCTGACCTCCCCCGGCTACCCCGAAGATTATGAACACTACCTGGACTGCCATTGGACCATCGAGGTTCCAGACGGAGAGGTGGTCATGCTCCGTGTCTTGGACTTCGCCATGGAACCAAGCGGTTATTGTGCTTTCGACGAATTCAAAGTGAGGTATGTACAGGCCCATCTATCGTAGTGGTGGACTTCTTCGCTAACGTTGGGAGTGGACGGAAGCTTGCAAACTTTCTGCTCCGGTCTTTCCGTCCGCTTGTCCGCGCTATGGTGCAAAGTATGTGGAAACCTTTCATCGACGCAAGTGGTGATTGGGCTGTGCCATAACTACAAAAATGTGATGTCTGCTCTCTCTCTCTCTACTCTCGGATCCACCCTCTCTCTCTCACTACCTCCTCTCTCTCTCCTCTCTCGTCTCTCTCGTCTCTCTCTCTCTCTCCACTCTCTCTCTCTCTCTCCTTCTCTCTCTCTCCTCTCTCTCTTCCTCTCCTCTCTCTCTCTCTCTCTCTCTCCCTCTCCTCTCTCTCTCTCTCTCCTCTCTCTCTCTCTCTCTCTCTCTCTCTCTCTCTCTCCTCTCTCTCTCTCTCTCTCTTCTCCTCTCTCTCTCTCTCTCTCTCTCTCTCTCTCTCTCTCTTCTCTCTCTCTCTCTCTCTCTCTCTCTCCTCTCTCTCTCTCTCTCTCTCTCTCTCCTCTCTCTCTCTCTCCTCTCTCTCTCTCCTCTCTCTCTCTCTCTCTCTCTCTCTCTCTCTCTCTCTCTCTCTCTCTCTCTCTCTCTCCTCTCTCTCTCTCTCTCTCCTTCCTCCCTCTTCTTCCACATTTTCTCTTCTTAACCCCTGCCCCGCTCTGCAGGGCAGCGGTTGAGGAGACTAACGAAGGATATCTAAAGATTCTTCTGAAGGGTTACTGTCCTGCCCTCCCCTGTCCTCACTACAATCCTTTCCACCCTACTCCGCTCCACTCCCCACCACTTCATTCCACCCCTCTCCACTCCACCCCACCTCACCCCACCCACCCCACTTCCACCCCACTCCACTCCACTCCACTCCACTCCATTCCACTCCACTCGACTCAACTCAACTCAACTCAACTCAACTCCACTCAACTCAACTCCACTCCTCTCCCCTAGCCATCCATTCCTCCTAGTCTACTATAATATGATCCTCGACGACGTCCAGAGCTGACTGGTCGTTGCCGCGTCATCACCGTCTTTCGACTGCCACAGTGACGGCGACTCGGACAGCGCGCCGGAGCTGGGGTCATTCTGCGGCACAGCCGTCGCCCGGCTGATCGGCCCGTCCAGCGGAAGGCACCTCACCATTAGCTTCAAAACCGACCACTCCAAGACTGCGCGTGGCTTTCGTGTCTCGTGGAGCACACTTAGCGCTTATGAAGCCACCAGCGGTACGGACTCAAGACGCCATTCGCACGCGGAGTGCGTGTTGTGCACTTGTAGTAAACTGTGCCTCATCCGGGTGATTGCACAGGCCGGCTCGAGTTAACCGACTTGGGACGAAAGTGAAACAAGATGCAGCTTGAAGTGACCTATTTGCACAATTAATTTACGTTGTGGTCGCTGTTAATAGCGATCAATTAATCCCGACTGCTAAATAACGGATGACAGAGTGATTGCTGTCAAGATGTAAGCAGTCTGTCACCGGCAAGCCGATTTTCGTTGGCAAACACAACACCTGATTGCGCTGTGATAAAGGACGGAAAAAGTATGGCGAAAGCCTTGATAAGCCAACAATCACTCTGATCGTAACGCAACGCCAGTAAAGATGTAACCTCTATAGTATGTGGCTAATCCTCATGGTGATATTTTATTTGCATGCGTCATTTGATCATTCACCATAAAACTGCGCCATCTCTATCATGGAACGCCTGATTTCAAGGCTTTTGGGGCAGCTCCATCCACGTCAGTTGTTTCCATACACAGCAAACTGGGCTGCTTGCGTGTAACTAGTGTATCTCGGCGTGCGAAGCTGTCAGCTACTGCTTTAGCCACCAGCTCACGGCAACGCTGGCACAAAATTATGACCAACCGCTAACGTCATGACATGAAGCTTTTCAAGTAGTCTTTTCAGGTGTCACTCAGTCGGCCTTCTCTAAACCGGTCCTTGAAGTCGCAGCTCAGTCATACTAAATTGTCAATCGAGGCCCCTATGGTAGTCAGACACCAGAAAGATGACCAAAGAGGGGGGACCCGGGAGGTCGTGCCCCTCCTCCAACTCACGGGAGGATTAGGGCGAGGCATTGGTGTCACAGATGGGCAACTCGGACTATTTTTGTCGTCCGGTATCTTAGTGCATGTACAACATTTCGGCCAGTGATTCTCTGACCGTTGACAGATCCTATTGAATCCTGAGATGGAATGCATTATGCCGGACTGTCAGACGCGCATGTCTTTCCCGGATAGCTCAGTTGGAAGTGTGGTGGACTTGCAGTCATAGGCCTCCGGTTCGAATCCCAGTATTTCAGAGGAAATCATTCGGGTTGTGATGCAGACATGGGTGAACACCAAACACCCACCACTCCGTCTCAGCATCTAATAACACCTAATGCCGGGGCCAATTAAGTGGTCGAAGCCTTGTGTGCATGCTGTCCCATCAGTTTGAGAAATAGGTATAAAGTCATGCAGATATTTACCCTTCGTGCTCACCAAAAAACGTTTAAAATATCAATTTTATCATACAAATCCCAAATGCGCTGTTCTGATTTTTGGTCCTATCATCATGAGACATTTTCAACTACCGCACGCCTTATGGCCTTCGTGAATAACGGGCCGTGCGTCCCAGGTTGCCAGCCATTTATTCATGTCAGTGCCGGTCATCAGGATGGACATTTCAAATGCACGGTTTTTGGAAGCCGATGCATGAGAGGATAACACCCTTCTCCTCCTTTAGGCCCAGCTTTCTGGAAAAATGCAAAGGATGGATCTTCTCGTTCACTTTACTGTATGACGTCTACGTCGTATGCATCAGAAATGATTGTTGGACTGCAGGATGAAGAATCAGGTGGACAGGCATTTTCGGTAAGGTTTGAATGGCTGACGGTGACTGATTCATGTCAGGAAAAAGGACAATTCGGTTCTTTGATTCCGTGCTTTACAAAACGCTGAGTTTTCTAATTTGGCATCTGTGTGGATACGAAAACCGTTAATTTCATGAGGGTAAATGTATTTGGTCAGAAAGATGATAAGGTCAATCGGTTTATGGTAGGTAAAGTTGCCTTAAGTGTTGTAGTTATATAAAACATGCATAAACTAGCCTTTTGGTCATTTAAGCTGAAACAGTCGACGGAAAACTGAATACAATTCCGCAAGCATGCTTCAGTAGTCTTCAGAATTTAAGACTACTGCAACTGGAGGACTCTGTGGATTAGCATGTCCGCGGGTTCGTTTTGGCTGTCCCGGTCTCAGGTGGGCATAATACCGTGTTTGTAATTTCCTTATAACAGTGCAATCCACAGAAACATGCAATGCTCTGACGGTCGTTACGACCGGTGTGCAGCATGCACGCAGCCCAAACTCGCGCATCGTACACGGAAAACATAAAATGCGCTTCATTTGCCGCTTTTTGAACCATTGCTTCATTGTAACGCATGTTTTGTTGCAGGAGCTGGACAGCATCAAGTGCGTTCGTCTGGAGCAGTTCCGCTCGTTGCGTCTTTCTGTCGGTTATGAGCAGAGACTGCGGAGTGGCGTGAGTTCTGCTCCAAGGATCAGCATGTCGCGTGCAGTTATACACAATTCGGTTACTTCTACGGCAGGTTTAGGCATTCCATCAGAAGGCATCCGGGAACAGGGTCAAGCATGCTGCATTAATAAGTACTAAACAGCGATTTGATTTGCTGAAATGCTGACGTCTGTTACGCCAGCCTCAGAATGGATTTGGATAAAATAACGATAATCTCATGAATACAGGCGCTTTAAATGACGTTCTACCAATGACTGTTTTTTCCTATCCCGTCAGCCCAGCTGAACATTCTGGGATAGCCTCCCTGCGTGAACTGCAGCCCCTTGATTCATAATCTATGGGTATGTTGTAAGGGAGGCTTTTGTCTGCATGTCGATGTTTACTTGCAAGCTTCAGAGGTCGTTTTCTTCACTGCATGCCCATCCCAGCAGCAGACTTGGCTCGTCGGCTGTATCTACCGGAGGCAATGCATGGGGAGCGTACAAAATTTGGAACAGTTTCTGGGACTGGTCTCTGCCAGCTAACACTCCCACCGGGCAGTGGTTGGGGATCTGACCTTGCCACGGACGGATCTGAGAAGTGGATGATCAACTGCCCTTGACTAACACAACAACCAATCATTTCTGAAGCTGTTTAGGCATACAGAAGCAGAAGCGGATGCTACTGCAGATGCTACTGTTTCCTTCATTAGCGCGTACGGTAGCCTGCCAGTTACCGGTGGAGTGATCAGATCAGATCAGATCCAGTGTGAGTGTGATCCCTCACTCACCTGACCTCACACCGGCCAAAGGAGAGGATGTGGGCAGTCAGATGACACATCTCCTTGGATTGCTGTCTAGCACCACATCGCTTTGAGGGTCCCGCTGGTTTACCACTCGGGCGTGAGGTCTCATATCCGAGGCTGATCGCAGTCACACTGCGTTAACCCCGATCAACTGAAAATGCAGCATAGTGAAGCAAGCTGGGACCTGATGGGGGACATGATCCTGCAGGTTCGTTACCATCTTTTCAAGCAAACCGTGATAGGTGTTTGGTGGTCAGGGGCGGCGCCACGGTTTTTGAGTTGAGGGGTGACGGATTTTCCAGAGGGCCTCCTGGACAAAAAGGGCCCTCCTTGCAGGAGAGGGGCCTGATCCACAGCGGCGTATTCAAGAGGGGTGAGCACTGAGGGTACGTGCCCCTTATCAAATTATTGCATGCGTCATACACAAATAAAGAAATGTTGATAATTATACATGTATATATACATATATATATATATATATATATATATGTGTGTGTGTACATATATATGTATACATATATATATGCATATATATATATATATATATATATATATATATATATGTAAATATATATACATGTATATTGGAATTCGCCTGATCATCCAGCAAAGGGTCCTAAAACAGGGCCTTCGGTTCCAAAAACGGGCCTCCCATTGCATAGAAGAACCTCCTAATGCAGAACAGGCTGCTAACGATTCACGAAAAGGGCCTCCAAATCTGGCCAAGAGACCTCGCTTTCTCAAAACAGGGCAGCCCGATCCGGAACCGCGGCCATCTATGCATGAAAGAGCCTCTTGTTCCTGAAACAAGGACTCCTGTTCCAGAATTGATCAATATGAATGATCCGAAATGCGAGCCAATTCGACCCAACTGCCAGGTCCGACAGTTCTTCGCTTCAGTCGTTTTGGTTTGTTTCCGTCTGGTGTCCTTGGCGTCAGAGGGGCCAGCGGCTGGAACTTCCTGTCAGCCGATGTGGTGGCGCTGACGCGGCCAGGTCTTTCGAATATAGACTCGGTAAAGAACCACACGTGTGCCACGTGACATGCTGGGAAAGGCGCCGTTGCGATATTGCGATCTTGACGTGCGCGGGACCAACATGTCTAAAGGCCTTGCATTTTCCGACAGCCATTGGTAAGGCAGGGTATGAATTGAGAGAGAGAGAGAGAGAGAGAGAGAGAGAGAGAGAGAGAGAGAGAGAGAGAGAGAGAGAGAGAGAGAGAGAGAGAGAGAGAGAGAGAGGAGAGAGAGAGAGAGAGAGAGAGAGAGAGAGAGAGGGAGAAAGAGAGAGACCAGTGCCCATGGCGAATCCTGTTCCCTCTGGGCCTAGTGACATGAAGAGGTACCAGACAACATCATACCAGGCGGTAAAGATACGAGCAAGACACTCTGATGCCCTGAGCGTGACGGGCGCACTTGCTGTGGACCAAAATTGAAGCGCCCGCTTTGTGTCCCTACTCGAATCGATTGCACCCATGTCACGGCTCTTTCTGCCCGTCCTGAGTCGCTTTGCCTGGCGTGTGGTGAAGCCGTGCGGTGTGCTGCTGTTAACGCCTCCTGATGGCGACTCCGCGACAGGCGTTCCACTCACGGCAGATGTGCCCGTGATGCGGGGGCTTCTGTCGCCAGGAATACCAGGGATGCTCGAGCGGCGAGGTGCTGGCCTCGTTGAAGACGGACCGCTCGGCTCAGTTCCGCGTACTGACGCGGTACTCCTGCGCCACGCTAAGCGGCGGGCTCCGTGTGGACGCCGACGACTGTGAGACCGTCAGAGCCGACGCTAGCGCCGCCTTCTCCACCAACCTAGAGGCCACCGAAAGGTGACGGGCGTTGCATGATCTGCACTGCAAACATGCCACATTCACGGGTTAGGTTCACATCAATTTGGGGGTTCTAGGACAAGGACGCTTAAAAGTAAGATCGCTCATAGTGCATCTCCGTTATGGGAAAATGTTTTAGCTCCAACTTAATGGAAGTACTGTATCTCATATAACCATCTTAGAGAGATTATGATCATCTCCGATATATTATCGTATCATCTTTCCTGGAACAAACAGAAAAGTAGAATTCAAAAGACAGTCATCGTACTCTCTCACGAATACTCTGACTCTCTGAAAACTCTCACGAATAACTGTGAGGATCTCGACTGATCTCGACTGTGAGGATCTCCGTAAGCTGCGTTCAGTGGCAACGTTGTCGGCTTAATAAACTCTGTCGCGATAAATATATGCCTTCCGCGTGCTCACGTGCAGAGGCTCATTATGGGCCGACAGCTGATAAAAAATACCGACATCGGGGAAACTGCCCGTGAAAAATCCTGCAACGTGATACAGGGAAGTGTGTCGTGTTTCAACACGTGGTACATGTTTTGCATTAGGCTCAATACATATCGTCTACTCATTTACTCGGCAAACTTTTTTGGCACATCCAGTTCTTGAAGAGTTGGACGTACCAAAAATCCGTTTCAATGGAAGGGCGTATAAAGTGTGGCATTCTTCCTCGAGTCCATTCACCTTTCTCTTCTTTAGCAGCTTAATGTTCTATGCTGCGGTAGCTTTACGAAGGTTTGGGCTCAACATGGGCACTATGCCAACGAGCCCGCAGGACGTAATGTTTCAGCCCACAAAGCTGGGTCCGAAGGCAATGCATAACACTGGCAGTGTTTCATTTGCTCGGAACAGGCTAAGGTGGAAAATAAAATCTTTGAAACCCGAGTTTGCAACTCGTTCTAAGAAAATGCAATGAGGACCTTTTTGACACCGAACCCCTTAAATACCAGCGTCTCTAGCCGTGATGGATTCCCCAAGGGGAACACGGTATTCTTAGATAGAAACTGCGATGTGGCCAAGTCATGCGTTAGTCAATGAAGATAGCCATCCAAGCAACGTCAACAGACAGGAACTGTCCATGTAAACTGATATTGTCACGTGCACTGTCATGTACCGCAGGCACTACGGTCTACTACAGTAGCCTAAAAATCGGGACAGCGCTTCCGCTGACATGGATTACTCAGGGACGTGCGAGATACTATGCTAACTTATAGTAATTAATTTAATTAGTGTTATTTGAATGTAATTGCTGTGTACAATCTTATTCACTGTCACAGCACCTTTCTGAACATGCCAATAACCTTTAGGCTATTGGCATGTTCAGATAGGCTATCGGCTATTGGCATGATTATGTTTACGATGAGGAAAAAGAGTATGATGTACTTGCATTAATCGAATTTTGTTTGCTTCGGGGAAATCAATCTGGCAAGGTTCGAAAACACTTCTTTTATCTCTATGACTCGACAAACACCGAAAAGTGATCAACCTGTGATGGCGCTGCAACTGGAATCGTAACCATCCGATATCGCCCCTGGCATGATAATGTACATGTTTGTGGCTGAAGCCTTGATATTGCGTAGTCACACTATTGCGTTTTTCAGCTGGCCGGTCCAGTGCAGTACCGACACCAAAGTTGTCGTCGGATTTTACTACAGCAGCTCCTCGACGCCCGTCTATATGGGCATCAAATGCTGCGACATCAAGCCATCAGAACGCTGAAGCAGTCCTGTCTGTTTAGACTAGCTCATGGTTACCTGCACGCTTTATTTGTGTAATAGACTTGATGGATTCTTCTTTGGCACCGAAACGCTGTTGTTTGCAAATACATCTGCAGACTAATTGCCTTTTTCCACAATCTGTTGGTATGTTTTACAGCAATGAATAACCAATATATTTTGTGTACCCATGTGTGCCTTTTTCGGAAGGCAAGAGAAATTTAAAGAAAAGATCAGACGAAGAACTGTCAATAATAGCTACTGCTCAAGCAATAAATGCGGTAATTTAGGAGGGGGTTTGCGGTGTCAATAAGTGTGAAGTTTTGGCAGGTCACATTACCTTTTTGCATGCAGACATATCACATTCATGGGCAAAATATTCATGGGTGAGATTCATATTCAGTTGGGGTCCCCAGCTCCTTGTCTTTGAGGAGGAAGCGGTCACATTCTGGGAGAAAGCCGTTGTTGACGTATTTCTATGCAAGGTTTAGCCGTATTCTCTGATCAGCCTCCCCCAGCTTATGCTACGATACTCCGCTGTTGAGAAAGGCTTCCTATCGGTGACGATGTTTACTAGAGACCGCCAATGAGTTAAGTGCTTTTGGCTTCCGGCCTGACAGTGAAAGCTCACTTTTAGGAGGAATTTTACGGCCGTAAAAGTAATCGTGCTGAAGTGCAGAGGACACCTCTGCGCTGCTCTGAGCCGTCATAGCGGTTGGGTGCGGTGAGCCCGCGACGAGGGCCCGCCGGACCTAGGTCGCGACCACTACAAGCCAGAAGGTCATCTCTCGCTCAGAGCAGATAGATAGGAGGGATAGCTGTTCAGTCAACGGTGCTTCTCCGGCTTTGAGGCATTGGTGGTGCTACGAGCACGTTAAGCGGCAGGTTTCCTGCATAAGGTTTCTAGAGCCGTTGCTGGGTTACAGGTAGCGTAATACGACATCCAGTCCTGACCTTTTGATCTCAAGTGTAAGGTCATTTAGTTCAGGTCACAGAAACTTTACAAGCTAACCTAGGCGCATATGACTGGTGGTGACCCGCGCGGTGCGTGGCTTCTTAATCAAATATGTGATATCCATCAATGTGTGCGCTGATAAATTGACGCTTACCAATTCCAGGACAACAAGTACAATTAGACAGTTCGAGAACACGCAGTGCTCTGCGCAATGCAAGGATTTGGCGCGTCCGCTGCGCGCTTGACTGGGATTTTATCGAAGACTTTTCGAGCTGCTCCCCCCCCCATTTCGAAATTTAGCATGTGCCTCCACACTGACCTTCTGAAACGCAGCCTGTTCCGGAAATTGTCTTGTTTTTGTATGTTGTACTGGGGTTAGTCTTGCTGATCTAAAGGTCCCACAACCAGCTCAGCATGTCACATTAAGCATAGCGTCGTTTTCTGGCACGTCAGGCTGGCGTCACAGGCAAACAGTGCTGACGTTTCATGCTCGAGCAAAATTATTTGAAACTGTATCATGACATGCGAGCTTGCCTGTCGCAATCCGCTTGTTTTTACACGTCTTCCTAGCCTCCGTCTATTCAATGTAAAAAATGTATATGCATGCCTATTAATGCACGCGCGAACATTTATGAGGAGAAAAATGTGTCCCCTGTGCCCCTCCTCGACTTCCACACCGGTTAAAGCCATTTCGGTGGCGAATGAAAGTAAAGTATTTTCATAAGTTGTTCAGTGCATTAGCGAGAAGCAATATTCACATAGATAAGACAGTAGTATTAGCATTATTCCTGGCAGAAAACCAGGAGAATGAAAATATAGTTGGGTCGATGTTCCGACAACATGCTTTATCGAAACAAACTTGCTTCGATAAAGTCATGTTGCCGAAATATCAGCCCAACTATATCCCATTCTCTTGGTTTTTCACCGAGGGATAAGGCTAATACTACTGTCTTATTTATGTAAAGTCTCTTTCCATGAGGCCCAGGTAGTTCGCGACGTGTCGGATTTGTCACATTTAACACTTTACCTTACCATTTACATTTATATATATATATATATATATATATATATATATATATATATGTGTGTGTGTGTGTGTGCATATATATATATTAACATATATAACTTTTGACGCTCATCAGAGACACACACACGCGCACGCAGTCGGGACTGCACTGCAAGGTCGAGCGCCCTGCTGTGTGTCCGTTGAGTGACTCGGGACTGTCATCCGTTACACAGATTTGGAGCCGTCCTGCTGCTACTCAGGCTCGATATAAACTCATTTCTTTCCGCTGTTGACTACCTGCTAAGAGAGAAAGGCTCTGACGCATCGCAGTGGTCTCAGTTTCCTACATAGTTTTGCTGACGCCGAGACTCTGCGGACGCATGGCAGCGGAATGCCTGAGCGGCCGGCAGTACAATAATTAAAAACGCAATAAAAGCAGGAACATTTGTAGCTTCTGAGGCATGCAGCTTTGTGTTCGATATTGGCAGAATGCCTTGGGAATATGTAGCAATTGTGGCCTGACCTTTTGGTCGGCCGTGCATGGCAGTACGGCACGCCAACCGACATTTGACCGCAGGCACTTTCACGCCACGGCGGCTGTGAACGCGAGGCACGCCTCCTGCGAGGCCCGCGTCACGCGGTCATAACTTGCCCTCACGCGCTGCTGTCGCCATTTGTTCCGCCCGGAGTCGAGCGGCGACTTCGGCTGGACGCCCGACAGCTGACCCGACCAGCGCGTGGACACGGCAGTCGGACGGTGGCACGCAGACCAGAAATGCAGCCACCTGACCAGCCAGCTGCTCCAGCAGCAGCAAATGACGTGTCGACCAGTGTTTGTAAGGCATTCGTTGAAGTCGTTCACGTCACACCGTGCAGAAATGCGGGGATTTTTTGCAGTTCTCAGCCAGCGCATTGCTTGGGGAAATGGCAGAGAGGACTAGGAAAGCTTGGAAAGCCCCAAGTTTACACAGCCGGTGTGGCAAACGTTTAAAGTTTCCAAAGCTTTCCAGGGCTACCTCGATTTCTTTGACCTATTTTGACCTCTAAAAGGCTACGGTGTCCGAAAGCCTACCACATTATATTATTTTTTCCAATTTCAGAAAGCTCCAATTTTCATGGGTTTTGCCTGACATGTTCCTAAAAACCAAAATTGATTGAGGCCATTTGAGGTCAGTGACTTCCTCTGACCTTCATGAAGTCCACGTTACATGTCGGTTGACGTCTCTGTGATACAATTTCAAGGATATCTTAAAGTTTCCCAAAAAGCAAGTTTCTTAGTACAAAAGCAGTTTGGTTGCGACCTTAGTCTGACATTCATTCCTGAACTAGATTCAATGGAATTATTCATGATCTTAAATTCAATTGTTTTACTGTCTACGAAACCATGTCAAAGATATATGCCCTCGTCTAGCTCTTCGTTGTAGCACCAGATAGAACGATTCCCAAGGAACTGCCTTCGCCAAGGTCCATGGCCTGACTTTGATCTGCCATAGGTCAGTGATCTTACAAAGTGCATCTAATTTTGCAAGCCGAAATGATCAGCTATTACATTGTCTACAGCTGTACAAAGGTTGGGGCGGGATTGCCGCGCCGCTTGGAAATTAATCTGAAAAACTTCGGCGGGGTCTCATATTGACCCGCTTCCGAGCACGTGTTTAAACTCATCGATTTCGCCGCCTGAAGTCGCCGGGCTTAACCAGATCCATGCAACAATCTACAAGCATTACAAGGATTGTGAACTTACCCGCGAACGCAACCATTAGTGATCCTCTGTCCATTAAGCTTCACGAAGAACGGACTAGCCAGCAGCAAGCGCCCTGATCCGACTCATTCGGGTGACCTCCAAAAGTGTTCGGGCAAGGAGGTGTAGGGTTTGGCTTCTACGTGAAGATGGTTGGTAGCTCTCAGACTCGTTATCAACTCGCTCGTCCTGCGCCGTCTCTGGCTTCTACATGAAGACGGTTGGTAGCTCTCAGACTCGTTATCAACTCGCTCGTCCTGCGCTGTCTCTGGCTTCTACATCAAGAGTTTGGTAGCTCTCAGATTCGTTACCAACTCGCTCGTCCTACGTCGTCTTTGGCTTCTACATGAAGATGGCTGGTAGCTCTCAGATTCGTTCTCAACTCGCTCGTCCTACGCCGTCTCTGGCTTCTACATGAAGACGGTTGGTAGCTCTCATGCTCGTTATCAACTCGCTCGTCCTGCGCCGTCTCTGGCTTCCACATCAAGAGTTTGGTAGCTCTCAGATTCGTTGCCAACTCGCTCGTCCTACGCCGTACAAGTCTCTTGCTGGTTTAAGAAACTGATGAGGTCCGCACTCTGTACCACTTGTTCAGACGCCTGGTGAGGCAATCCGATTTCTCGTCGCTCCGATGTCTCGTTGACAAGATGTGGTCACGGTTCGGACCGGGTACTCTCACGTTTGGCGTGGGTCACCTTTTCGGGCCGCCCATGCAAAACGGTCCTGACCTTGAAATGGTTATCCCAGCAAGCATCACACCCGCACTCGGGATTGCATCAGTTCAAAGAATACCCGAGGAAAGCCGTATCGTGCGCTTGTGCAGCCCGTGCAGCTTTCAGCCCCGTGTCGCGCAACGTTTTGTCATCAATATCGTATTTACTACCCGCTCTTTGCGCCATCCTATACACCATTCAAGTTATGTACTGCGGAAGCTGAGATGGTCCGATGGCTGTGATGTCGCACTGTCGCATGCACTATTGCATGAGGTACTCTCGCTGATTGACGCGCAACTGCCACAGCGAGTGGAAATATTGGATGCGAGCAGCATGGGTGACAGGGAATACAGCAACAGCCTCGCCAACTGGGTCAAGTGATCGTTCCTAAAACAGGTTCTTCAGTCAGTGCGCTCGAGCATCTGAAGCATTCATGGGCTGCTGTTCGCGACAATAGTACATGATCACATAGCAGTTATCTGGGCAAAATAATGTATGAAATGCAGTAGCTGAACACTACTAACCACCGGTTAATATGATGTGTGACCAGTTATGGTGAAGGCTCCCATAAATTATGTTACGCGCCTTTGGCTATTTTCAAGTCTCTTATCACGCGTCTTGTTTGTCAAGTCGTCCCTGGTGTGAACAGCGGGTAATCAGGGGTAACCAGTGAGTAACCAGTACCCAGTAACCAGACC